TCGCCCCCGCCCCCCCGGGCCCCGAGCGGAGTCGGAAAGGCGCTCGCTCGGCCACGTTTTATTGCGTCCGTGCCTTACACCTGCGCCCCCGCGGAGCACGCTGCTGGCCAGCTCAGAAACTTTGACAAGTTGTCTCACTGCACGACGCAAGTGTTTTTCCACTGGCAAACGCCCACGCCCCCCTGCAGTCCGCGTCCTCGGCAGCGAGCCCCTGCCCAGGCCGTGCGCCGGGGTCGGCACCTGCAGGAGAGGGGGGCCTTAAACCGAAACTGCCGCAGTGAGATCGAGTGCTCGGGCCATTGAAATCTCCCAGGAATCTGACTGGCTAAGTCAGCGTGACATCCGCTTGCTGTGTTGTGATGCCACGCTACGCTTCCATGAAAACAGGCTAGCAGAAGCAGGGATTTCACAAAAACCATTTGGCCTCTTCCGCAGTGGATGTTGTTTCAAGTGCAGCTCTGCATAATTCCTGCTTTTCTTCAAGTTGAATCCTCTGTTGCAATTCAGTCTGTAAAAGGGAAAGAAGTCACATAAATGCATGTCATTTTCCGTAACAAATGGAAGGCAAAGTGCTGTGGTACAAGATGCATGACAGATCTGCTTGTAGGTGCTTTCCCCTCCCCCCCAAAACCTGTTACCATTTTCAATAGATGAGAGCATACACCATGTAATGAAGGCTGGAAAAAGATACTGTTCTGTACATCACCCCGTGCAAGTCCTGTTTTGTACAGAGTAAGAGCTGATGCACAAAAAGCAGTGCAACCTTAACACAGAAGGCCAACGTTTTAAGCACAAAATCCTTCCCTTACAGAAAAACCCCACGAAGCACTTAGATAAGAATGGTTTATGTGAGACTACGATCAGCCCGTTGTAATATGTTTCTCTCACTTCAAGTAAGTCATCACTCTCAGTTTGGAAATTCTTCTCCCTTTCAGCTTGAACTATTAAGGAATCCTCTTAACACACAAGACAAACTGCTTAGCACAGTCTAGCCTGCTAGGCACACCGGCACCGAGAAAAACAATTTCCACCTTGTGGTTATATTCTCTTACAGCTACAGATCTCCTACGGAGATTTACTGAGCAGAGGATGTGATGACAAAGGTTGGTAAAGAAATCCTATCATAACGCTGTAATATCCCTCGGATTCGCAAGAAGAGTTCTTTAAAACAACCTTTTAATTTCATATGTGAATATCTCTATAATTTTATATCATGCATGTATTATATATATACACACACACACAGAGGTACACATGTATTCATAGATGCACATAGATGTCCTGGAGATGTACACACCTCCAGCAGCTGCTGCGTTACGCTGGGCCGGTCGCGCTGCCGCTGGGGCGACCGGCGCTGGGGGAAGCCTGCAGGCCGGTCTGGCACCTGAACGTCTCCTTGGCTGGCAGAACTGCGGGCGCAGAACCGTCACGCAAAGATTACTGTTAATCATACCACAATAGTTAATCCAGGCTATAGTTCTAACGCTATAGAAGAAACGTACAGCAAAGACCCTTATAGTGGATAAGCAATACATCTAATTACCATATCCTTAGAATAGATGTAATATAAATTTCATTACTCACTTAAAAGTTCTAAAGTTAACAGCATAAACTTGAAGTTGAGTAATTAAGTAATCCTTATATAGACACTTATTAAAGTATTTATACATATTATCTTAAATCTACATCTATCATTTTGCCAATTAAAATTAGGACTTTAATTGCAATTAAGTAATTTAATTGCCAATTGAACAGCAAAATTGCTAAGTGACTAATTTTAATGCCTATTTTAATTACCAATCATGACTGGGGAGGGAGCTAATCAAGCAGTATCAGAGTAATGATGTGAAAAAAAATGGAGAACAAACATTCAAGACTACATGCTTTTAAAAAAGAACTCCAAATTAAATAAATGCAAACACAATTTTATACATGTGGAGAAATGCTGTATTTTGGTATCTAAATACGTGAGCACAAAGAACACATTTAATTAAAAAGAACTGCCAATCTTCCACTAAAGTATTAAATATGAAGTGCCCTTTATACTTTATTTACATGTTAGTCTCACTTAAAAAGTAAAACCAAAACTATGTATGAATGTGAGATTTGAACAAGTGAATGAACAACTTGGCAGGCTGAGCTGCCACAGAGTGGC